TAAATATAGAGAATTTTGGATAGAACTCCATCTTGATTCCTCACGCAACTACAAAAATCCTAATTAAAGTAATATTACAGTATATATAGTCCAAATTAGAGCTTTTCTTCCTCACCAATGCACACTAAAATCATGAAAACTCCTTTTAATGTTTTAAAATGAGGCCATTACATGTTTTTTACTTTTCTACAAGCAAGCCTTTTAATTATTAATTTGAATGATCTTCGCTATAATATAGACATTCTACATTGTTTTATTTGTCCATGTGGGTGCAAACCTAAAGGTAATGCCTTTTCATTTCTTTTGACTATTAAGTAATGGAAAAAGTGAATGAAGCTTTGACAGATTGGCATGATAAAGCTAAATTCTTTAAAATCTTGAGACTTTAGGTTCAAATTTTCTTGTTTGTATGTTTAATTTAACCTTATGATGGTTTTGTATTATTTATAATTTAGCTCAATGATTGATTTGCAGTGTGAATTTGTAATATATTAATTAATTTATACATTTTAGATGTGATATGAATTTTTCTTCACGTACTCATATAATTTCCAAATTTGAAATTTTATCTCGAGAAAATTTTAATTTTTTCCTTTCTTAAGAGAGTTTAAAAGTATTTTAGTATTTATTTATTTCAATATTATAATAAATGAAATAACAAAGGTAACATGTCACCTCATTTATGGTAGAAAATTTTTTCTCTAATTTTAGAAAGTAAAATTTTTCACAACTTTCTCATATTATAACCCATTTTGTTTGAAAAATTTTATTTATAAAAGTGTAATTTCATTTCCTCACGAAACATTAAAAAAAAAAAAAAACTTACAATTTCAACAACACTTCATTATATAAGATTGATGATATTTGACAAAACTTTCCTAATCATTTTCTCATGCAAAAAAACATTCTTACAGTGTAGGGCACTAGGGTGAAAGATTGAGGGCAAAATAATGGATGCCTTAAAGATCGAGGGCATGAAAATATATTGACGGTTAAAATTTTACTAAAGTGGAAAATAAATTGCTCCTAAAAGTGGGGAAAAAAACAGTCGCGGTTCCAGTCGCCACCTAATCGGCAAAAATTTGGAGAAAAATATGTTTCCTTCACTTTTCCGCTAAACTAATCTCCCAACCATCATCTCTGTCTCCAACTAATTTGCTTGAATTTTTACGGTTTTGATTTTTCCTACTGATTGTGTTATGCAACAATCATCTCCTCCTTCGCCGCAGTCGGATCCGCCGAGTGGCGTGCAGCGGAGTACGTTGACTGAGATGGACGTGCTCGTGCAACCTCCGGTGGTCGAAGTGGATCCGTCATCTTCCGTCTGGGACTGGAGCGATCTCCTTGACTTCACTATGGACGACGATGACTTCTCTCTCTCCTTCGACTCGGAGAATTTGGCTCCTCCTCCGTTGGAGATGGCGCCGGATTCGGGTCCGGGTCCGGGTCCGGGTCGGGTCCGGAAGCGGGACCCGAGGTTGATATGTTCTAATTTCCTGGCTGGTCGGGTTCCTTGCGCGTGTCCTGAGATTGACGAGAAATTGGAAGAGGAGGAGGCGGGGATGCCGGGGAAGAAGCGGACTCGAACCGTGCGGACTGGGCAAGGGACAGCTAGGTGTCAGGTTCCGGGATGTGGGGCGGATATTAGGGAGCTGAAGGGGTATCATAGGCGGCATAGAGTTTGCCTTCGGTGTGCGAATGCCAGTGCTGTTTTGATTGACGGTGAGACGAAGAGATACTGTCAACAGTGTGGCAAGTAAGCCCAGTTTCATTTTTTTTTTTTCCCTTAATTTTTCCTACCTATTTCAAGTTGAAGTTTAACCTGTTAGTTTATGATCTCAAATTGTTTGCAGCTAGCTTCTCTAGTATGAAGAAGCTAGCCCATCTTATATTCATAGAATTTCTAAGCCCCTTTAATTTAGTGTTGAATACATGTTTAGTTAATTATGTTTAAATGGGATAGAATCGAAAATGGTCCACCATATTGACTATTGAGGTTATGCATTGTGAAAGGTAAGCGCTGGGTCTAATGGCCTGCAAACTTATCAGCATTTGGTGAAGGAAACTCAAGGAGAACAATGTATTTTGTTGCTTGGTTGGTTACTCAAAGTAGGTCCTAGACCACAGAGAATTAAGTCCTGCTGCACATTCTGGTTCTTGTCCGTGAAACAATTTTTTGGTTTTCGTAACACTTTATGGCTTATGCTATGTTACCCATCAGTATGTTGGCTGTCATGATTTTTGCAGTTAATTTTAAGATGAAATACATGATATTCTTCAAAATGCAGATATTGGGATTATGGATTAAGGTTTTTTTCTAGGTATTCTGCTTTTTAGTTGAATGCATTCATGTGAAATTTGGCCAGCTGGTTTGGTTATTGTGTATCTTTCTTGAATGTCTGCTTGTTTGTCAGGTTTCATGTCTTGCCAGATTTTGATGAAGGTAAGCGAAGCTGTCGAAGAAAACTGGAGCGCCACAACAATAGACGACGGAGGAAGCCTGTTGATTCAAAAGGTAGCGTTGAAAAAGAGCCTCAAGGGGCCTTGCAAAATGAGGACATTTCTTGTGATGGTGAAGCATTAAAAGGTTTGACAAATTTAGTTCGATCCAGCTAGTTATGATTTAAGGAGAGGAACCCTTTCATTTAGGAGGAGCAAATTTTCTTCATTGTTAGACTAATAATAATTTTGTTCATTCAGATGGTCCATGCTTGAGCAGCCCAATAGGTGATCGAGAAATGCCTTTAGAGTTTGAAGATGGACATGTTGTTGCTGTTCATTCAGATCCTATGCTGCAGAATGTTAACAGTGAAAGTGTTGTATCAGTTTTGGCCTCTGGAAACACTGAAATGGATGGAGGAAAAGATGATTCAAAGTTTTTACTCTCCCCTTCTTACTCTAACAGTAAGACTTTGTCTGCGTACTCGTCAGTGGTATGTTCTTGTTTTCATTCTTGGGTTTTTCTTTTTCTTTTTCTTTTTTTTTTTTTTCTCCAATGCAAGGGATCAAGGGTATGCTGTATTAATTCTATGTTTGATTATAGTGCCCCACAGGCCGGATCTCGTTCAAACTTTATGATTGGAATCCAGCAGAATTCCCTCGAAGACTTCGGCACCAAGTATTTTAAAGAATTTTTGTTACAGTTTAGTATTTAAATACGAAGTTTATTTATGATTAGAGATTTATGGAATTGATTGACACATTGCTAACTGAATCTACAGATATTCCAATGGTTGGCAAATATGCCAGTTGAGTTGGAGGGTTATATTCGCCCAGGTTGTACAATTTTGACTGCATTTATCTCAATGCCAAAGGATATGTGGGTGAAGGTAATGTTTCAATCTAATGTTTTATTTTATTTTATTTTATTTTTATGTTGTCTTTCTTTATGTAATTTTAGGTCAATGTTTTAACCATAAAGACCATAAAAACCCTTTAGTTCAAATTTTAAGATTTCTTCATTTCTTTTATTGTAACTACTAACCTTATAGGAAGAGAAGAAATCTGCATTCCTCTCTTTCATGATATTTTCCATACTTCTGTTGCTTTGTTCGCTTTACTCTTATCCATGTTAAATTTGTTGCTTCCACTACACTAATTATATAGTCTATAGGAGGCTTCAGTTGGTAATCTGCAGTAATGCAATTGCTTTATGTTTGTCAGTTATATTATGATGTGTATATGGTACACCCATCAATAATCAAGCAATTCAAAGCCCAAAAAGAAATTGTAAGATGAAGATATGTTTGGAAATAATTTGTGGATCTTTATTTTCAGTTACCTTTATAATACAATAGGCTAAATAGTAAAGTTTTTAGTAACTCTTTTTTTTTCCATTCACAAAATTCAACTTGTCACCCTTACAATTGTTCTCTTACTTTTCTGATAAATTAGTATTAAGTAGATTTAATTCAATCTTAGCTTCCGTCTTTTATTGTATCATGCAGTTATCTGCCAACCCAGGGCCCTATATTGATGATTTTGTCCTCAAACCTGGGGGAATGCTATATGGGAGAGGCTTCATGACTGTTTATTTAAACAACATGATTTTCTGCACTAGAAAAGGTGAGTTAATACCTAAATTTTTTTAATGTGCCAATGGAACTTTTATTTGTTCATATGATCTCTTCTAATGTGGAATGCAATTCTCACGGTAATATATATTTTTTCCCTTGAAAAGTGTGGCTGGCATTATTTTCTGCATTTTCTCTCTCACTGAGGAGGAAATATACTTTGATTAAGTTACAAACTCTCTCTTCGTTACGGGGCTCGCTACACCCATCTAAGCTCTAACAAGTAATAAGCAAAGGTCAGGAAAAATTAGGAAGAACAATTGATGGAATATATTTTGACACATGATATTGGTAAAGCCTTATGATCACTGGTGAGACTTTGTAAGGCACATAGCTTGCATTTATTAGGTAAATTTTTGGTTGAGCCCTTTAGTGGAGTTTTATTTTAAGACCATATAATGCTGGTTTTGCAGCTGTTTACGTGAAAATTCTTCGAACATCCTTATTTTTAGTTTTATATTCATCAGTTCTAGTTGGATTGAATTCTTAGAGCTTGTTTAAGTTGTGATTTGTATGAGCTTCTTACGATGACCATTCTGTGTGTAGATGGAACTTCCATGATGAAACTAGATGTGAAGGTGCAGGCCCCAAGACTTCACTATGTTCATCCTGCATGTTTTGAGGCTGGCAAGGCAATGGAATTTGTTGCCTGTGGAAGTAATTTGCTGCAACCCAAATTTAGGTATTGACATTCCCTGTTCACAGAGTATCCATGTGAAACTTACCTCTTTATCTTCTAATCTAGTAATCTACATTGCATTTGATTAAGAGTAGGGATTCACTTACACATAAGTCTTACGTTCTACACTTACACAAAATCTCAACCATTCATCTCTCCAATTTCAATGGTTGAGATTTATTCACTTTTTATCAATTTATTAAAAGTCACGGTAAATCTTAGCCATTGAAAGCGGAGAAATGAATGGTCTAGATTTTGTGTAACTGTGATGTGTAAGACTTGTGTGTAAATGGATCCCTACTCTTTGATTAATTTTCTTTTCAAGTCTGCTAAAGTAACTAGTTGGAAACTAAGTAATTATTCCAACTTTCATGTTTATTTCTTCCACTGTTTGCGCATAATAACACAGTACTATTGACCTGGGGCTTTTTGGAGCACTTATTTGTCATGGTGACTCTAATGACAGCCCGATGATTCATTAATCGTATCTTCATTTTTTTTTCTTTTTTTTTTTTTTTCTTTGGGAGAAACATGATCTGTAACTATCAATGTTCTTATTAATAGATCTGCTAAATTGGCATAAATGCTGAGAAAGCACAATTTCTAATAACTCGTGTAAACAGCATGCCTTCAGGAACATCTATTCATCTGACCCTCATCTCTATTTTAAGGTGCTGTAGCATAGTATTGGTTCTGTTGCTCTCTGGAAAGCTTATCCTTTATTTTATTGGGGATAAATAAAGATGGTTCCTTGCTGCAAATACAGAATACCTGGAACCTCATATATTGGGGATTTGGATGATGAATGCTTCTGAAAAAAATTAGGCATTAACAGCCTCTAATTTGCTGTAATGCTGGACAACTGGGCTGATGTTTCACAGAAGCAGTCATATCCTTCGAAAATTTCTCAGGATGAGCTTAGTAGAAGCATTAGAGTTGTGAAATTGTTATTCTTTTGAGGTGGAGAGCACTCCTGGCAAAAGCACATTGGACATGAAAGTGCTATTGATTTCAAAATTTCTGACTGTGTGAAGAGCAAGAAGTAAATTCCCAAAAATATAAAAATAAAAAATAAAATTGTTACTGTCCATCAATTATAGTCTGGTGACCCTAAGCCAACCATGTCTGAAATTGCAGAAATAGTTTTCTTTACCTGCAGCAAGTTATTAGTGAAGTCTGGGATAAGAAATGTGCTGAAGTACCTATTGTCATATCTTCATTATTAAATTTATTATTATTATTATTGATTGAGTTGTATTTCAACCTTTGGATTCTAGCATTACTTTCTTTAATGTTTAATGCGTTTTAAAGCATGAGCAAATAACATTCCTTTTTATGCATGCTTTTTGATGAACTTCTTTAGATTTCCAGTAGGATAAAATTTATTGGCATGTTTACTTATTTTACCTTTCTTATGATGCCCTAATGTATTTTCAAAAGTTGTCCTCGTCTCCTTGAAACTTTTGCATGTTGTTTGAGGCTTACTATTCATCTGTTTTATTGTGATAATCTAGTTTTTAACTGTGATTTGTGTTTTCATGATAAAAAGTAATTAGACATTATAACGTAAAGCTCTATAAAGATAATCACATAATCATGGTGGCAGGTTTCTAATATCTTTTGCTGGGAAGTATCTAGCATATGATAACTGCGTTGCATCCTCACATGTTCTGACCAGAGGAGAATCTCATATGTGTGAGCATCAGTTATACAAGATACGTATCCCTCACACTGAACCAGATCTCATTGGTCCTGCTTTTGTTGAGGTACTTGTCCTGAAAATTGGCCTGACATTTGAGATTTTTATCTCATCTATACTGGATGCTTGATAATTCATGCTGATATGTTTCTGCAATGTTAGGGCCTGTAACCTGCCCATATTATTAACATTTCCTTTGTTGCGCATAAAGCATCTGTGCAAGTAAATAGAAAGTCAAATTTCTCTTTACTATCTATTCACAAACTTGTTTTTCAAACTTACTCCTGAGTTCTGTCTAGAGTCATGTGTTAAGCTTATATTGTAAGAGCATGTTAGATCAAATGAGTTCTGTAATAGCTTTTACATTTTTATGTTTTCATGATGTTCTCAAGGCCATAGGGTGGGGAGATGCAAGAAGGGAAAACATTTATGTATATTGCTTTGATTTGTGTTTTATGGTTGGTATAGTCCCTGTTTGTTCCGTGTCAAAATCATTGCTCTATTTCTTTTCAGGTGACTGGTATTCACAGCTAGTACTTGTTAGCTATTGCGTGGTAGTCTTAGTATGTTCTCAGAATAATATATAGGCATTGAAATGTTGGCATATATACAGAGGCAATTCTTTTCCCTATTGAAATGTTATTAGTTCATAGGATTTGGATCTGTAATAATTATTGTTCTCGACTTGTCATGTTGAACTTTTTTTCCTCCCATAAAATGTATTTTGTAGGTTGAAAATGAATCTGGGTTGTCAAACTTCATTCCTATACTGATTGGCGACAAAGAACTTTGTTCCGAGATGAAGTCAGTACAGCAGAAATTTGAAGCATCTCTCTTTCCAAAAGGATCAAATTCTGTGGCTATTAGAGGTCTGTCTGATTTGTGTGAGGCTTTGGATTTGAGACAAGCAGCATATTCTGAACTTCTTTTAGATATAGCATGGTTATCAAGGGAGCCTGCTCTAGAAAATCTTCAAGAGTTTATGACATCTTTCCAGATTAAAAGATTTAACTGTTTATTGAATTTTCTAATAACGAGTGAATCGGCCATCATTTTGGGGAGAATATTACAAAACCTGAAGACCATGATTGACAGGATGGGGTTAACTGGTGCAGTTAGTAGCACAAATGAAGCTGATATGAGATTATTACAGAAATATGTGGATAATGCACAAGATATCCTCAATAAAAAACTTCGGAAAAGTGAAAGATCAGTGTTGCTGTCAGAGTATAAGGTAATTGACAGTCATTGTTTCCAAAGCAGCTCCAAGTGTGAGACATTGTCGGTTGTTCCAATTGCCGATCAAATTATTGACCAGGTGAAGACCGAAAAGCTCAGGAAATGTGTTTGTTTATTTTTTTCTCAGAGAATGACAGAGGACCTTCTTGGTGTTTGTAGGCCTCACGCCTCTAGATTAACGCACTGCCCTTTGTACCAAAAAAAAGAAAAAAAGTCTCTTTGTAACTTGTGAGGTCTTTCCATGTTTTATCAAATCTATTTTTAGCATAGTTTTGATATTATTTTATTTGCAGGAGTTGGAGACAAGAACAAAAAGTAGATTGGGAGTGTTGCTGGGATCAAGTCGTCATAGAACTGACACTCTTCCACTTTTGAACAAAGAAGTTGTTATGAATGTGAATGTTAGCAAGGAGTGGCCGAGAAAATCATGTAACCCTGTTTTCTCCACCACAGCTTGGAGATCTCGTGCTTCTGTATTTTTAATAGCTACTGCTGCTGTTTGTTTTGCAATTTGTGCTGCCACTATCCATCCTCAAAAGTTTGGTGAGTTTGCAGTAACAATAAGGCGATCTTTGTTTCAGAGATCTTAGATGTTAAATTAGGTCCCTGAATCATCCAAGTGCTCTAGATCTTTTCATGTGTACATATCTCCTGTATGTAAAATTATATGCAACCAAGCTGATGAAAGCCTCATCATACAAATGCGGGGGCACCAGCTTGGGAGTTTTGGTTTCTGGGCTTGCAGATTCCATCCAAATGCAGCTGTTGAATGCCCTACCATCGTATTTCTAGCAGAGATTGGGATGATCACTGTTCTTGGATAAGCGTAGTTAGTCTCTGATCTCAACTCATTTGAACCAGAAAGAGTTCTGATATTTACTTCTGCTGTCTAACTAAATATTTTAGAGAAGGTTAGATCACATTCAGTTGCAAGTGCTCACCTCAGTATTCCCATTCAGTTCTTCGCATCAGGTAAAATGGACAATTGGGCATTCGACAAAGCATGGATGATGCAACTGCTGACATGTGCTTTCTTAAAGTGAGGAACCTTTCTGTGATTCACCTAGATCTCCCCTAATATAGTTCTAGATCTCCCCTAATATAGTTCTGTTATTGTCATTCCCCCTGTATCATTTTAATCTGCCATGGCCAATAGCCAGAGTTTCATCGATGTATTCAGAGAAGTACAGAACAATAATAAAACAAACCAATCCTTTTGTTTGCCTTCATTTTTGATCCATTCATTCCATCATGCTTGAAAGAAAAATATCCAGTCCATTCACCATTGTTGCAAGAATCCACAGCCTGC